ATATAACATATCACTGGTCAAAAGGAACACGAGCATACTTAAGTGAGCCACTATAATCAGACGGAGGCCATGTTTCTCCTGGTACAGAGAGGGAGTTTGTCTGGTAACAAAGTGGGCAGCTAGGCCTAATGCCTATTCAACTGGATACAACCTAAACCAAGCCAAAAAAAAACATGGCTGACATTTTCTTAATTTGCTATTAAACTTCTTGGCCACATTTTAAAACGTGATTTAATTTGTAAGAGAGGCTTTACTGGCCTATACTGTGACAGGGTTACAATAGTTGATAATAGATTAGATGCCAGTACTACAATATGGCCTGAACACCAACTTGTGCCTACAAGTTTATATCAGCATGTATCCGTGGAACTTGTGAGTTTGTCAACACGGCCACATATACTGCAAAGAATTCCAAGTTGTTTCTAAGATATAATGAATAATTATTCTTCACAACGCCACTTCCTGTAAAATATTTCAAACACAAATTTTAGCCTGCATAGCTGATGGCTCAGCTATGACAAAACAATATAATTGAAGGCGTGAACTTACCAAGATCAGGTGGGATATTGAGTTTTTGACCAGACTCCTATGGTAGCCACATCTTGATGCAAAGGTGTTATCACAGCTTTCTGAACCTTTGTAAGGAGGATGTCACCTTCAAAATCTTCTAGCTCTGGGATATCCCCTATTAAAAGCACATATAAGGGGTGTTAAATAAATTAGAATTTGTGTTTATATCACCTACCCACTGGAAATATAGAAACTATTATGGTGGAACCTCAATATAACAAAGGGCCAAGGGACTGAAAAAAATTTTGTCCGCTATTAACAGGGGCTTGTTATATAGAGGTTCTCTTCCATATATTTCACTATTACTGGAGCAGAGAGAATAGTTCGTTACAGTGAGGACTTTGTTATATAGAGATCTGTTGTATCAAATTTCCACTGCAGCTGATGCTGAGGTATTATAAAATATTCATTGCATCAGTTGGTTATATTATGACCTAAATCTTCCAAATTCCAAATGGTCTGCCCCAGCTGGTTATGAAGAGTTAGTTAGGGGATTTGAGCCAATCAGAAACGGAGAAATATTAGGTGGAATGAATAATAATACCATCAATCCCTTAGATATTACCTGCATGTTGCACACATTCATGGCATCATGACATCCTTCACCATCAAAGCATTCGTCTGATTCTCCTTGTTCCTTATACCCAGAATAAAGGTTTGTGCCTGAAAGGCATTCACCACCATTCCGGATTACAAAAGCACTTATATCCTTTGTATTAAGCCACTGCAACACATTGTGTGACGGAATTAGTTACAAAACAGCAGTAGATTTAGTAAGACAACTTTCCACAACCTCAACTTTCAAGCCAAACTCTTCTACAAGGAAGGTATGTCGAGTTAGGGAACAAGATTATAAGCTGAATTACATGAACTTTGGATCAATGTGTGACAGGATTCCACCTTTAAATATCGGTTCGGTTTTTTTTTTTTCGCGCAGTCTAAGCTCACGTCACCATATATACTAATGGTTTTCACACAATCATCGCAGCGCCCTTTTGAATTCTAGTTTTACTTCTCTACGACTTTGTGAATGCTACCCACCTTAATACTTTCAATCGCAGAACCGACGCGCGGGTTTCAAGAAATGATACCGGAATTTCCGTCTTCTTTTTACATGGAGAATCTGGAGGAATCGTTCACCAGTTTATGGTCTTCGGTGACAAGTTAATTTAAATCAGAGATTTGAAAATCAAGGTCGGAAATAGAGGCATAACGTATCTCATTTGCCAGGAGCTCAACCCGGAGCGAGCCATACGAGGCCTATGTCAAGGCGTTTTCACGGAACAGTTTATTTTTAGTACACATTTTAGGGCAGTTTTTATGGGAAAATCTCCACCATGTCGATGAGCGCATTCGAAGTTTAAGATATCAAAAAGGAAAACTAAACTGTTGTTAAAAGGCAAAAAATATCATTTTTAAGTCTGTAGATTTTGCTGACTGAATTGGGAAATTTAATAGATATTCAAACTTTGCACCAAAATCGATCGTTCTTAAAATAAAAGGGCCCGTGAAAACTCCGGACACGAGCGCATGAAGTCGCTCGCTCCGGGTTATGAGCTCCTGATTTGCACATATAACTTCCGATTACATTTTTAGATAAATAGCCGTAAAGGCATGAAAGGTTTAAAGAAATGGAACACAAATTTCCGATGGAACAGTCCGAACGGGAAAACAAAACCACCTTCACAGACAGGAAATTTTCCATTTGTTATTTTGTATTTCCTTTTCGGGCTTTAACTTTCATTGCCATGGCAAACAATCCCAAATTGTCATCCCGATTAACAATGGGTTACCCTCCGTCGATGAAGTGAAAAAAATTGGATCATTATACGTTTCTGGGAAACTGCCCATGTACCCCTCCCCTAAGCCAACACTAAAACTTACTCCTTACTTAGGTTGGTAGTTTCCCACAACAGTTTGTCACAGACCTATCCCAGTAAAGTCTTTGCAATCCCTTATGAGACCCGTTCAAGCTTATTGCTACTACTGTATCGTTTTAGCCAATAAAGCCTTGAAATAATTAAAGGAAAACTTAATAGAAGGCAACAGACAAATGATGTACGTCTAATTTATATCGATTGCTAGCCCGCGTAGCTGGAATTTCGGATGTGGCGCGGCGGGGGGAGAGGGGTTATTTTGTCAGTGTAGAAACAACGAGAAGCGGCAACGAGTTTGCTCGTTCCAGCGCGCTCGATAGACAAAACCGCCAGCTTTAAAGGCTGACCTACTGCAAACAGCTAAATATCCAACGTTCAGCAGATGGAATATTTGATAAAACGTTTTCGACAAAACACCAAAGATACAGGCCCCGTCAACACTCATGCGGTCTCGTTTGAAAACGCGTGCATTTCGATGCGTTCAGGCCTTCCACCCACACTAATAAGCTGCGTGTCTTCATCGAAAATGCATCAACACCAGAGTCATTTCTGACCCTACTGACTCCAACTTAAGTTTTATTTTTACACTGTTTGCAGGGAATAAATAATTTCAAGACGCTTTTTTATGTTTGTAGCATGCGCAAGCATCTTTACGTCACAACGGGCAATTCCATCGGTTTTCGAACGTTCTAGTGTAGACAGCCGAGAATGCATCAAAACAGTGGTGTGGACACGAATCGATCGATGCGTTTTCGATTACAAGGAAAGCGCATACCATTCCTAATTTCACGCGCCCCCTTGATGGAATACGTGAACACAACACAAAAGTTTTTTTTTATTTTTTTTATCTTTTTCTAAACGTAGATACGGTCTGATGGATTCAATCACAAAAAATTTCGCCAACATTGGACAAATTACGTGAAATTGAATAAGATCGATGAAGTTTGAAACACTGCGAATTTACTTATAAGGGACGGACTGTTATTTTTTGGACGGGGGAGGGGGGTGGAAAATTTCACATCCAAACATTTTCCTGCAAACACTTTTTTTTTAACTTGCATACAATTTATTTCAGTGTTTACAGCCTCTGCAAACAATATATTTCCAAATTTTTCAAATTTTTCGGGGATTGTGTTTTCTCTTTGTTTTGTTTCGTTGCTTAGCGAAGTGTATCGATTGCCAATAGTCACGTCATAGAATTTGAAATAAATGTAAAAGAGCATTTTGGCATCTATTATCTAGATGTCTTTTAATTCAGATGTAAAAGTACTTGTATAGATGTATTAATGGCCGGTCTTGGTGACAATTAACCATTTTAATTCCTTGTCCACCACACACTTTAGTTATAAGCAGTATACGTCCATTCAAACATCAGCACAGTGTATTAAAATGCAACGTACGGATTCTAATATAGGTGTCAAATATTAAGGTGTTTCGATATAGTTTTTCAGAGGCCATACCGATATTTTTCAATCGCTTTAAAAGTTATTTTATCCTTGTCTGATCGCTATGAAGTTTTCAGCAATGATTGACTATAGATTAAACTTTATCAAAATGTAGGTTTTAGTAAAATCGATATTACAGTATGACAACAATAAAGAAAAAACTTTAAAATTGTAAACGCCTAATTTTGCACCGAACTGAACCAGCTACTGAAAATCCAACACTAGGAATTTAAAGTTTGGTGTTTAGCAATCAATCTCCATAAGAAGTAAAAAATTCCGTATGTTTGAATTCGACTAAAACAAAAATTTATTTCAAACCTTCAATTTTCAATAGACGTGATAGATTATTTAATAAAACAATATAAATGACTCAAATTATTCTTACGTAGCGTCAGAATGCTGCTCAATATCATATTTCGATGCTGGGAAATTTTGGTGTATTTTCGTTCTGGCGATCTTAAAAACTAACCCGGCCGTTTTCTCACCACCTGTCTAAATGTAACTTCATTCAAAATTTGGACTTTTAGCGCTTTTTTGTATATCTCTGAAACGACTCGAACGAATTTTTTTTTTCGCTTAAGCGAAAAAAATTGACACAGCTTGTTTGTAAAGATTTTCCAAGTTTAAGCCACGAAAGGAATGGGTAAATAAAGTAAACTTGTCGAGTTTTGAACTCGAAAACTTTTTCAAATTCGTGCTCGCGTGAATAGCGCGCGAAAACCAATACATCTTGACGCCACAAGCATGTTAACATACTCTCATGCAAACACTCCTCTTGGCCAATCAGAGCGCGCGTACTATCTTAGTTATTTTATAAAGACAGATATAGGTAGCTTTTTACTGAGAATTAAGGTAAAAACAGGAAGTCGTAGAAGTGCTGGGCGTCTGGAGCGTGAAGGTCTTGAACTCGTTTCAGCCCTGGCGACGACGCAGTCCAATCATGACCGTTTATCAACATCATGGTCCATTAATTCTTTTGTATATATTTTTTTTCTTCTCTTAATATAATTCTCCATGCATTAAAGTGGTCTTGCACTTAGCAAAACCACCAGTGACTGACTACAGACTTAAGCCTGCTTTAGCACTTGATGCTAAACGACTGACCAAAATGAACGTTAATCGCTGTAATCGGTCAGCTTTTTTGTCCTGCCTGTTACTTTTCCTGTGTTTAAAATTAGCCGTCTGCCATACAGCAGTGTGCAATAACTGTTGCTATGATCACCAGAACATCAGTGAACCCCGTCGCAGTACGAAGAGCGTTTGGCAGAGTGGACAAATTGCGTTGTGTGACATGAATATTGGATATGGTTGGTATCGCTTCACTAGTTTCGGTGGCGCTAAAATGCCAGAAAGCAATGTTCCAGAAGGTCATTGTGGTACCCATGATCCAATATGGTTAAATGGAACACATCCCACTGTGACAGAAGGAAATGTGGCTCGCACGGTCTGCATCAATAGCTTTGGCCTGGATAACGGATGCTATGACCATTTCGATATAAACGTCAAAAACTGTGGAGGTTATTATGTATACTACCTTAAGCCCCTCTACTACTGTGCAGCCGCGTATTGTGCTGGTAAGAAAGCATTTTGCACATCTTTTGGGACATGTATCAATTTCACAAAATGTTACTAATAATTAATTATTATCATGCAGGATTCAAGGACCCATGCCCATACGGAAAGGAGGGCGAGCCCCCTGATTGCAACGGTGAGTTGCCATGCAACTTTGTAGGTACTGATCTCAGTTGCTCCTGAAGGAGAAAAAAAATACTGGTGGCCTTAACCAGGAATGCACCATTATCGCTTTGCCTTTGAAATGGGTAAGCATCGTCATTCCCCGCCGGTTCGTAAAATAGCTTGGGCATGACCTAAAGGGGTGGTCAAAACCCCTTCAAAGGGCGACTGCTCTCAAGCTTTTTATGAAAAGACCTATCAGATACACAGTAACTGAGTGAAACTGAAAGCTAGGTAAGAAAGTCATAAAATTCACGGATTGTACATGAGGTACGAAAGTTAGAGTGTATTCAATGTGCCCTTACTTAGAAGTTTCCCTTATGCAAAACTGTTAAGCTCTCGCCCCGCTCTCACCCTGAAAAAAAAAATCATCATGACGTATCATTTGTCCGCTGGATGCAGAAATCGTTTGCGCACTGTCATGTCAAAAGAAAAAAGAATGAAATAATGTGCCTCAATGTAACTTGCGCATACCAAACCCTATGAGAGGGATGCTGACCGCATGGCCACATGTCATGCAGTTTTTGCATCATTCTAAATCTCGATCTGAGCCTTCCGGCGTTACTCTCATCCAGCGGAACCAAGCTGCGTCCGCTTTAGAAGCGATGTTGGGTACAAAAAGTCTCCAATTTGGCGACCTCTGTTTGGCGGCCGAGTTTCTTTTATAAGTTGGTGCCTTTCATAAGCTAAAATGAGATAGGTACTTGTATGATTCATTGTTTATTATTCAGTTTTTTCATAACGCGCTAAACCTAGCTTATTCAGTGTCCAGGTATTTAGCCTTGAGATGAAGCGTTCTTCGATTCCGACAGTTGGGGAGTCATTTTTGATTATTTGAAACCCATTATTCAATATTCCAAAAACTGTACTTATGGAAAAAGTTGAATTCAGGCACTGTCTATAATAATTAGAGGAAAGCAGGGGCGGAGCCAGCTTTTCGACTAGTTGTAGTCCTGGCTGACTTTCATTTCCTCATATCCTGAAAACTGCACGGGATGACTAATATGCACCGACCTCACCAACACTTTGAGCTCTTAAGCTTTTTAGCTCACCACAACAACACAAAATTTATTACAAGCGGTAGAGTGATCAAACCAAAACTTTGTGGCCCCGGGCCTACAGGTCTTTGGGTAGGTTACGCCCCCAAAAAGGGCAACCGATTTTCTTCTTACGAGTCCAACCGGAAGACAAAATCCTGGATTGCGTTTACGTGAAGCTGTTTGAGCAACTGCTGTTCGTGTAAGTAAAATTTTCCTTTATCAAATTGTCGGTCTCGTTCAACTGATCACGTGATGACTCTAAGGTCGCATACCGCCTGCCGGACTTTACTCAACTGTTGGTGAACAAGACTCATGCAAAATATACAAATGCACTAAGACACAAGTCTTTTTACTACTAAGACCAGAATTCGTTTTTTCATAGTTTCCTCTCCCTTTGTCTACTACAGACCCACCGAGAGAGTTTTCACATGACTACATTGGCGATCCAAGCATCACTTACATAAACGATCACTCACTCGATGTGCCCTTAATTTGCAAAGCACCTCTTCTTCATGGCATTGGGGCATGGGCGAATGTAACTTATCTGGTTCAATGGTTTGCAAACGGTGCGCCATTAGGACGTGGCGAGAGATGCCCTGGTGGTGGTGCTCCTTGTCTTGGAGTAGATCAAATTGACTTCAGACTTGAAGGAGATAAGTACAAACTTGGTCAAACGGTAAGTAAGCAAGTAAGCAATTGCAAGCCGCTTTCCGTCGAAATTCTAGTTGCTACTAACGAAGACCCAAGCATGTTAAGGCGTGGCCTGAGGATAATTTGCATAAAATCTTACAATGGTCATAACTTTGTAAAAAATTTTCAGAACCTTCCAAAGTTTGGCAACCTCGGAAAAATCGGTAACCTTAATTTTCCCGTAAGGTAAAAAATCAGATATCTGTGTCACGTGACCACTTATGGTCGAGCCCAGGAAAGAAAAGAAAACTAAAAATGGGGTGGCAAGATGCCACACAGTATAAATTAATTACAGTATTTTTGTTATTGTATTATCATTTCTCGCTTGAATCTGGCCGAATGGTTGACTCACGTTTTTATTTAATTAGTAATTAAGCAAAATAGGTCACGTGACACTTTTCACCTGTTAATATCTTTTTAAGAAATTAAAAATTCTCTCCGTTCAGGCCACGGAAAAAATTCGTACGGTAAAACAAACATTTACACATGGTTCAAACTTAGTTGTAATAAACCATTCCTACCCCATTTTGAATTTTTTTTTGCATATCATTATGACTTCACGTTTCATGTTACTACATCACTTCAACCCTAATTTATTCAACGCCTCGAAAGAAAGTTTCTCGAAAGTTTTTTGCAACTTTTAGAATTAAAATGCATGGCTGTAGAAGAAAAAACAGCTTTATCTTTGCGGGGGATCAAGACCAAAAATTGAGCCATGCCGTAACATGCTTGAGGATCGATATGAAACAAACTTCTGACCAGCGCAATCTGGAGTAATTTAAACTCGTTCCAACCCCTGTTAAGCTCGAGCTCTGCATTTAATTTTCTTGCAAGGCAAATATTGCCGAAAATTCGATTTAAATGAGATTAATGTACGTGTGATTATACTAAACCAAAATTTTTAAACAGATTTGAGCAAAGTAGAAAAAGTTCAGCTCTTATAAGAAATTCAAAAACTCATTAATAATTCATAAAGAAAAAACAAAAGAAATTTTAAAATATTTTATGAATGTCTTATGTCTGATAAAGACACGGCTCAACTTTACGTCCATTTTTTAGACCAAAATAACCCCAGATCTAAATATTAGTGCGAGAATTAGTTGATCTATATCAGAGATTTTGAAGCCGACCAAAAAACTCGCAGTCCTGTAAACGCTCAGCTTCGCCTTGAGTTTTTAAACCTAATAATACACTCCTGCTCGTTTTTTAAACATTGACATCGCGATTAAAACTGAAATTGCGGTAACCAAGTACTAAGTTATAAATCAAGTTTTTACCAAATGTATACTAGTAACAGTATAAATCATGAATTTTTAAAGTGCGGTCGAGATGTGAACTCCGACAGGTTTATTCTGGGTTTATTTCTGACCAAAGTTTTATACGGGGAGGCTCCGCCTCGAGGACAAACTCTTCGCCTTTTAATCTACAACGTAACTTTTTTGACAAAATAAATGGACCTTGTGCCCATTTCATATATCTGCTAACAGCAAGTCTTATTTTCATTACAAGTCGTTTTTTTAATAAATAAGTAAAATGATACGACTGTAAGGTGAGTCTGTTAAAATTATTTTAATCCCTTTAAATACCTGAATGGCAGATGTCCCTACCATTTCATATATTTCAACTTTTTATATTCCTACCCTTTCTAACCTAGAACATGAAAAAGGTACCCCTTTTGGGCGGAACTCCTCCTATATGCTATCATAAGGAGTAACCCCCTTCCTGGGAATGTGAATTTCTGTGTTGATGGGGAGAGGCGGCTTATATTAGTTAAATAGTAACTGGAAAAATTATGCAATGTATATAAGATAAATAATGGACTTAAAGAGTGCAAATAGTGTTTCGTTAGAGGATTGTCTACAAAATATGCCCAAGAAAAATACATTTGAGGCTAGTTTAAAAAAAACTACTCAGACTGATGAAAATTTTCTACCCTTGAAATCAAAACAGGTATGTTAAGTCTGAACCGTCTCCATGTAAACTTAAGAATAAATCGATGAGAGATGTTAAAGAACAGAAAGGTGTAAAGATTGAATTGCACTTCTCGATGTTTACTAAAGTCTGTCTTATTTCAATTAATTACTAATCAAGGAGAGATTGTGCTATTATTATTTGTAGTCTAATAAAACCGATAAAGACAGAAAGCAAGGTTGCTACTTATTTCCTTTTTGCACCTGGTTTTAAAATAGATCATTTGTTACGTACGGGGATAATCATAGGCGTACGAGCCAGGGGAAGGGGGGGGGGTGGGGGCAAAGTTGGGGGCTACAGTCCCCCTCATTTTTTAGCAGCACAGAGTTTTTAAGCTGCAAGAGAAATTTGGGCAAAGTCAGTTTTTAAAGAAGTTTCCATAGTTTTTTTCCATATTTTCTATTTTTAAACTTAAGTCGAGACCCACGGTGGTTGCCTCTGTGCTATGGGAAACGTCTGTCACAGTGAAACACCTGATAAAGAAAACTTCTTCACATTGCTAAATTTTACAAAATCGAGTGCGAGATTCTGCAAGCCTTTGAAATGACAGAGACTATCATGTATGGTAATTTTGCAAGAACTTGTTGTGATGAGAGCAGCCATGTTGGTTGTATAAGTTGAGTTGACAGCTATTTCTTTTAACCTGTTTTATTAACTCATTTGATAGATTGGTATAATATATAGATTTAGCCAGGGCTAAAAGCGAAGCTCTCGATAATATTTATAGCTTGTTCAAACAAAATATAAAATCGTGTAATGCTAAGCGGCGAAGGCAACGCCGGAGAACGGTGAAAACAACAATAGGTGTAATCTTTGCACGTGCAGCAGACTTTTCTTGTACATTTCTTTGCCGTATTTTTGCACGGCTACAAGGCGAAACTTCCAGAAACTTCTTAGTTACACGTTTTATGGAGGAAATGTCGTACGTGTTCCCGTTCACTTTTTTTTACTTTCGCTCATTTTTACCTTGGGCATGCATTGGTGGTCGCTAGCATTTCTCATTTTGTCACCGCCGCTACAAAATTTTCAACTTGTTCTTCCAACAAAAATATGTCTCCTTCGGTTTTTTATCTTTCGCTCTAAATTCCTGTCGCCCTTTTTCTCGTTGAGCTTAACTAGCCGGCCGCCCACTTAAAATAACCTCGAGTTGCATTTGGGTTGTCATACCTGTTGATTGAGTTATTTTACATTGGTATGGCTGTGGTGCGGACGGACGGTCTCTCGGGCGGGCGGTTAACGATCACGTGATTACCAAATTTTCTCGGATGGGTAGATTACTTCATTTTCTTACTCATGGTGCTCCGCTGGCGCGCTTCGCGCGCGAGAGTTCCGCTATAAGAATATTTTCACCTCATATATAGGGAATCCGGATTCCGGAATCCGGGAAAATTTTGCCTATGGAATCCAGAATCCTGGGTTTTGCAATCCAGAATACAGTTCAAGGAATCCGGCATCCCACTAACAATTGGAATCCAAAATCCAAGTTCTACTGACACATACTGGAATCCAGTACCTGGAAATCTGGAATATATTAATCCACGGCGTGGCATCCAGAATCCAAGACTGTCCAGGAAATCCCTCACATGGGGCGAAACTAGGTGAGACTCCATTATCGGAACTCCTTCTCTGGAATTTGAACCAGGAAACCTTAGGACGGATAGGAGGGTCTCAATGGAGTAATAGCTTTAATTTGACGGTTAATTTTATCCAATTTTGACGATGGAGGATTAAGTTCTAGAGCTTTTGACGGTTGACGATAAGTCGAGAGTGTTAATTAATATTAACATAAAACATGCGATTTGCTTCTTTATCACTCTCATAAACCTGTTTCGTTCTTACGAAATTGACGATTTTATTATGTAAAAAGGCTAATTAGGAACAAATCGGTGACTTTCTTCAACTTCTGTATAAAATAATATTGGCTATTGTGTTAACCCTGATTGAGGTTGTCGTAATTGTGTTAAGTAAGTAAGTAGTTGTATACTTAATGTTTTCAGATATATGCTAGTTGTAAGGTCTAGTAATGTCTATAGAAATTTTATTGGATAACATGGTAACTAGTTTTTGCAGTTTAGAGATGCCTTCAGGACCCAGAAGTCCATGAAAATTAGCTGAAACACTGAGCTTTGAAAGAACTTGAATCTTTTCAACGCTTATGTATCGGTCAAATCGAAGCTTCAACATCCCCCCCCCCGGGCATACCCCCGGAATTTGACACCTTTACCGTCCCGGGGAGGAGGGAATTTGATTATCAGAGTCTTCCAGGGGCTGGGGAATTTGATCCCCATGCTTTAGGGGTGGGGAATTTGAACTGCACCCTCGATTTCATGTGAAATCTCTGGCGTGGAGAGCTACCATTGGGGACGCGGCAATCGCGGAAAAGATTTTTTCCTTTGTGGCCAATTGGTTGCGAGAAAAGGGCTTAAACAAGCTTTGTGCCGTATTTGAAGGTATTTAAATTTAACTATTTTTAATATTGGATACAGGCTTTGAATGTATGAATGTATCAAGTTGTGTTTACAATGAAATAGAATACCGGTACTGGCAACTCAACACAACAGAGGACCTGCAACATGTATGTTAATTAATAAGGTGAGCGATGATGCATGTCAGTGAAATGGACATGATGTAGTAATCTCAATAGGTGGGATTTTTGTTATAGAACGCTTTGTATGTTGCATGACACACGAAGAAAACCTGAGAATTTAGTGACCTTGTGGCAGCTATTTCCTCCGCTTGCACGAGACTTTTGTTCGTAGTAAATACGCTAACAGTGTTTTCAGTTTTTGTTATATTGAATGCGAATTATTTGCTTATTTATAAAGATTTTGTTCGACAACTGAAGGTGTTTCTGCCGTCCTTCTGTCATTTATGTGCCTGTGAAATGTCCCCGGGGTGGGGGCATTTGATCACCTGAATGGACTCCTAGTGTGGGGCATTTGAAAGGCATTTTGGCCCGAGTAGGGGGGAATTTGAACAATAATTTTCAAATAAAGTCAAATGCCCGGGGGGGATGTTGAAGCTTCGATTTGACCAATACTATACATTAATATTGTTTGCTTCTTTCTGCTAGAAATATCATTTCAGCTGTCTTGCATCAAATCACAGTCGGAAAGTTACGCCATACACTGGAATTACGTCACCTTTTGCAAAGTTTTCTTGGACCAGTAAAGCGCGTAACATGTACAAATTTTGTTGCCAAAAAGTAGAAGTACTCTCTACTTTCTTGCATCCAACAACTTTTCGCAACCTGAAACAATCTTATTTGTTCCAAGACAAGTTTGATTCACGGAAGGTAAAACGCACAACATCGCTGTTCAATTCGTTTTGCAGATTTTCTGCCCTTTTCACCGTACCTTTTTTAAACCATTAGTCAAGTGATGACATCATAAAATCAATAATTGTAAGTAACCCTAATAAACCCTAAATTTTATTTTCACTGAGTCTATCCCTCTGGTCTACACCCGGAAGTAAAAAAATATATTTGCAAACATACCTCTTTAGAGACCGTTTTCTTTTCCTTTTGTAATACCTGTTGCAAACAACCAGTAGTACAACTACCAAGATCAGGAGCAAGCCGACGAAGATAAAGATCAATATATTTACAAGGGAAAGATCTGTGAGGCAAAGAAGAAAAAAGCCGGTCGGCAGTAGCCGTATTTTAGATGCATGTAGTTTGTCTGAAAAACATCCCTTATACAACAATAATATATAGATTTAGCCAGGGCTAAAAGCGAGGCTCCCATTAATAAATTTATAATTTAAATCAAACAATAAACTTGTATTCCACAATTCAGTTAACTTTAGAGCCCATTCGTGTGACTTTTCATGGAAAGGCTAAGTGATTTTCCAAAAAATAATTTGCAAGCAGCCCAAGAGTGAACCAAATCTCACATCGAGTTGATAGCCTCATAAGTACACCCAAAAAGTGGCAATCATCTTCGATCACATTTATTAAGAGCCATAATGGCTCTTGATCGCCGTAGATTAATTAGGCCTGAAAAAAAATTCCGGCCGAATTTTTTGCGTTCGACAAGTTTATTTTACAAAATCTTGCCAACAAATCTGGGTGCGACTGTAAACCAACCTTTTATATCATTTATACATCACATCTGAGGTGAAACAGTACTATGAGGCACTGTTTTTATCATACAGACCTCGCACAACAGAATGCAGTATTTCACAATATTGCGATACAAATTGCTATCATTCAATATTCAGGACGATCGCAGCACGCGTGGGCTTTAGCTAAACCGTTAAAAAAAAAATTAAAATCATTTATACGGCCAGCCGGTTCTGACTTTTGCAGTGCTAATAGTGGCGGGTGTTTGAATGAACATTAACAGAGTTACGCTCCAACATAATAAAGAATTTATTATGTTTATTTTTTATTTTAAAACGGTTTAACGCGTGGCATTTTGAGTACTCCGGGAAGCGTTGTTCACTGAAGGACTGAAAACAATCGACACAGCGATTAAAATTACAAGAGACAGCACTAACAATTAATAAAAGAAATATAATTCGGTGAAAAATATACAGAGACGACAATTTTCATTCAGGAAGACAAGTATTAAAGTGTCTTTAAAAATCCTGAGTCTTCGAGCTTAAAGCTGAATTTTGTGTTTTAACCCGGCTTTCCGGTGTTTGCTTTTTTCAAAGACGAACTCGCGGCAAGGAAATCGCTCAAGCCTTTCTTTTACAGTCAGAAGTATAACTAAATATTCCTTGAAATGTTTTCTTTCTATTTGCGGTGAGAAGATGTCTAAAGGCTTTTTAAAGATCTGTAAGCTTATAACAAACCTGATACGCGGTCAGATCATTGTCTCAAATCTTACAAACGTGCGTAAACAAAAAAGCCGCATAAACTACGCTCGACTTCATTAAATTAGGAATAAAAAACAAACATCAAATACAATAATTACTTAGGCTTACCACTCGAGATGCAGCTCCTCAAAGGTATCAAGGAAGGCCAGTATCGCTTCAGACTTTGCAACCCTCTTGCGCATTAAGCAAGGTGAAAACGAAAACGATGCAATCCGAAATCGGATTTCCGACTTTGACTCAACCAAAAACCCAATAAACAAACTACCCATGAATAACAGAAGACTCCTGATAGAATCTGAATTTCATTTTGTACATCTAGTATTGCTCACATGTGAATAGCAATATCATTACTATATAAACATTGAAATAACATAGATTTTTTTTTTATGTTGGAATGAAAAGGTTTATCCTAAGTAAGTGCAAATGAAAATCCAGGACAAAATTTTAAATGGCATTTTTTACAAATAGTTAAAAAGAGAGTTCTTGGTAGTAATAATAATAATTTCAGTGTTTTTTTCCTTTACAAGAAACTAAGTAATGCATTAGGCACTTCACAGATCATTAAAGTGCATTTAAGGTCCCTGGACTCCTAAAAAATTCGCTTATGGTTTAACAAGACCTCTTTGTTAACAATGCGTTAAGCTCAAACCGTTTAGTTAATGGAATCCCCGAATGAGAAAGCAACGTTTTCATCTTACAAGTATTGTAAATATTGTATAAATGACTAAAATGTTTTTTATTAAATAAAGTTTTGTTGGCTGATAATTACAATGTCTTCCTTCATTGAACTGCGCGAGACAAAAAGTAGTCCACAAAGACGTTCTTAGGGCTTCCTCACGTGTCCCTTCCCTAAGGAGAGCGTTGCGAAGCCCTAAGAACGACTACGATGGAGGCTTGTCAAAAAGGAGACTACTGTAATCCGCGTAGATAGATCTAAGTATAGACCCCATGTGAAAGGGGAATCCTATAAGACCAAAGCATATGAACGACCCAAAAGCGTAAACATTCAATAAAACATAAAACAAGTTCGTGTTCAAGAATATGCAAACTGAATTTCAGGAACCAGATATAAGCATTGCTACTCGCGATCGTATATTCTTGGACACGAAGAGTGTTCGTAGTTGTTCTACTTTGAATGCTGCAGAATACCAAGTTCTGCAAAGTCATGGCCTTTGGTGCGCGTTCGCAAACGCGGCGAACACTTGAGATGTGCGTTAGTATTCGGGCGTGTTCGCGTCGGGTATACCGTTCGTCACTGTCGTGTTCGCGTCGTATGCGGACTCGAAAATTTGTGGTCATACTAAGATGTTCCAATGACAAATGATCATCATTTATCGAAACTGGTCAATATTGATCTTTTAGAAAAGGAGTCGGGAGTATGCCGTTTAGAATGCTTCTTAGTATTCCAGGGTATTCTATTTGAATTCGGAAAAACAGTCCGGATTCTAAGTAGAATATTCTAGGTGTACGTCGCGTCATGCGTCCTTGAATACTTCAGGATATTATCGTATACTCCACGTGTGCCTATCCGTATTCGGGCAAATTCGGTCGCGAATATGTACCTTTTTGCCCAGTGCATCCAGTGGAAAAAGAAAGTTAAAAACATCACAAGTTGACACAAAACTCTGTCAGCTTCAGCTGTCAAAGTAAACAAGATTCAAGATGCTGCATAAATTTTCCGCATGAACTCACCTGTCAAATTTTGACCAATCAGAGCATAAAAATTGGACGTAGAGTGTGACCAACGCGTGAACATGGCGAGAAAAGTCAAAAGCAACTGTCTTCCCTGCCTGTAGCAGCTGGCTGAATTTTCGCGTCCGAGGTCAGTTTGAAATCAAAATTTTAATTGTGCGGCACATAAGCACAACATATTTCATATGAATTTGAAAAAAAAAAATTAAACTTGAGCCTGCGATCATTTGAAAACAAGTACCTTGTCAGTGGATAACTTCCAAAAATACTCGACCTCGATGGGTCGACACCTGAGCCCGCGATTCGCTCAACTGATACTGGTCAGCGGATACCTTGTTTTGACAGCTGTCAATTGATCACATTTCCTGTGCTCCGATCCCAAACTAGCTAAAAAGTATGAGATTGAATATTGTTTGCGATCTAGTAAAACGATTAACTGGTCAGCGGACAGCTTCCAAATAAATTACGTCACCTCGATGAATTGACAAATGAGCCCGCGTTATGGTCATTGAATACTGGTCAGTGGCTATCCTGTTTTGACAGCTGTCAATTGACTATATTGTGAATGTCAAATATAAAAGATGAGGACTTGCCAACACACGCCTGAGACACCCCTCCCTTCCTTTTGATAGTCTCCCCTACCCTACCCGTACAATCTGTAGACGCGTACGTACGTCGGTCAGTCACGTGACAACCAAGCGAAAAGAGGTTGACCATATTCCATGAGTATGGGGCTCTGTACCACGCGCGCTTCGCGCGCGCGGGAGCCCCGCTATTAATTATGTTAAGTCCTCAAGAAATGCAATTTGCTTTAGGCTACACTTACTATACGAGTTATATTTACATTGGCGTTTGTTTTTACTGTAGGTTTTGGTTACCGGGGAAGACAATAATTAATTAAAAGGTTGAGTTTGATCGTCCGGGTGAACGTAGTCCTGAATAGGACTGTTGTTGTTGACCTGTGCGGTAGTCATCTTCAGAGTCAAAGTGAGTTGTGTCACGTCAGTTGATGGTATTATACTCTGATTGTGGCGGTATACTCCGGTATACTCTGGTTGGGCGGGGGTATACTTTACAGTCTTCTCTTCGCTCGTCTTCTCTCTTTTGTTGACCCACGGACAACTCATTTCGAGTGTAATGACCCGCTTAGTATTGTGTTTATGATCGTGCGTCATCTGACTCGTATACAGGCTTGGGCTTAGCCGGAGAGTACCAGAGTGGTACCTCATCTATAAGTTCCAGATCTTGCAGCATCTCACATCTCTCTCGCACGTCTCTCATCTAAAGCTCAGTCGTGTCAGAAAAGGTACTGGCTCTGTGTCAGCGCACCACACCAGGACAAGATGGGAGCCATACTTTCTGGGGCCTTACTACACAACCTGCACCACGCCTCGCCCTCCGAACTTGTATGGGTCTTCTGACTGGCATATAACCGAGTTGGTAATAGTTGCTCTTACAGTTCAAAAATGCCGGCGATTGTGTGTGTTAGACAGGACTCTGATCTAATTCTGTCAGCCTGCAAAAGCATCCACTAGCTCTCAATTTCTTATCCTTTGACCTACTAGCCTTCCTTGCCATCGTTAGTTTCTTACTTCCTCCTCTAGCCTCTCTACTTGAAACGTTCGCAGTTTCATCTTGACTGAATGGCCATGTGCTCGAGATTGAGCTCCACACCGAGCTTTTTCGCGAGCCTAAACGCTTCTTTAACCGTGATCCTCGGTCCCATATGTTATTATTATTATTATTATTATTATTATTATTATTATTATTATCATTATTACCATTACTTCTATTATTATTATTATTATTATTATTATTATTATTATCATATAATTTTTATTATTATTATAATAACTGTATTTTTATTATTATCATTTTCATTGTCATTCTTGTTACTTCCTTTTTTTATCCAGATATCTTGCAATATCTCTGCAAAGTTTACCACATCCCCGAAAAACGTCTGGTCAACTCCCAAATACACTCGGACGCCATTCTTTGTAGGACTTCAGGTATGGAATGTTATTTCTAATTAGTCATTTTACTTACAGGTCTTACATCATGTTCACCCTAAGTTTGACTATGCAATGCTTTGAATTCGGTGACGTGTAAAATATTGCGAGGGCCACATTTTACACGTCACCGAGTAAATAAAATAATTCCGCACGACACAACAAAGTCAAAATAGTTAAAAATGCAGAAGTTACTCAAACTCACCTGAGACGCAGGTCATGAAGGCCAGTGAGCGGGTCGGCTATTAAAACAGAGTTTAACCGGCGTTACAAAACCACGGGTAATCGAAGAGATAATAAAAAAAAAGTAGCAAAAAAAGTAAAAACAAGGCAACAATAACAAAGAAAGATAAAATAAATGAAATCAATACAAAAAATAAAAGAACGAATGTAGTTAACCAAAAGTTGCTTGATGTACTTAATTCGTTGTTTTTTTGTTTGTTTGTTTGTTTGTTTCTTCTTCTGTAAAGCAGATAAACAAATATGACATGGCGTTCCTTCTATCTTTCACGTGACTGTTGCGTTGATCAGAAACACACTATTGCATTTCAGGACCTCTTTCAGTAGTCCAGTTGCTCGTAATGTTTAATCAGTTTCCGCAGTTAACATAGGTGATTCTCTAAGCGCACCAATGGGTTGCTCACGCAATCTAGGTTTCTTGACAAAAGTTCGCTCGCAAGAATTCGCTCATAATTCGTAAAGTTTATGTACGCTCGCCATCATTACTGTGGGTCTACCGTGAGCATTCCTTTGAAAATTTACAGAAATGACGCTATGCATGCTTGCGATCCCCGAGGTTCCACCGAAGATAGATGGCTATGATGGCTTCGGGCAGGCCTCGACCTGGTTTCTCGTGCTTCTCTTTAGCCCGCTGCCCTTTTTGACGCAAACTCGTAAATGTCTATCTTGCGCACGCGTAATATACGCCAGAGGGCGATTGTACCCTTGATACTTTGATTGATACTTTATCCTACTTACAGTGTAGGTTATAAAGCTGGTGAAAGCGACATAACGAACCGCCTCTTTTGAATTACGTTAGCGGTTTTCTGAGCTGATTCACTTGATTCCCCCTTCAGATTTCTTGTAACAAAATTCACTTTCTCTATTCTGATGATAATAAGAGCCCATGTTCTATTGGAAAGTCCTATGAAATCACAAACTCGTTCACGAACAACAAACAAACTTGTGAATGAAGCCGTTACCGTGCCTGTGAAATCCGGACTGCGTAGACAACCAATCAGTTTTCATGATTCGTTATCGTGCCCTCTTGGAAGAAGATAAAGAATGGTGGTTTCTTTAACCTGCTTAAAGAAACAGTTTTAAGTGCTGAAAACAATAGAGAGTACAAAAATAGATAAATAAATAAAAAGACCACATATTTTTTTTCCTTCTTCTTTTTCTATCAATTACTGAGAATATATTTTTGTTTAGGAAATCACTGAATAATTTCCTGATCCATTGTTTTTAGGTCAGTCAAACTTCACTAAACATACCGACTTTAGAAAATTGTGACCTTAACACTGAGTACGTGGTGACCTTCACCCCTACAATTCCTGTTCGACATTACAGTGGTAGACATCCGGTGATAACCTTCTTTGCACCTGATGAAGTAAATGTAAAGGAATCCTGCAGCGTAAGTTTAATCGATCTCAACCGGGTAAACGTAACTTTTACGGCAGCCTGTAAACAAGACCCGACAACTGGACTGAAACCAATAATTCCAGTTTTTCTTCAAACAACTCCTGTTTGGAACCCCAAGAAGTACAGTCTTCCCAAACTCTGGGTATGTTTAATTATCAAGTTATCAAAGCAATTGTTCGCGTTATGTTATTAACTAAGCTGATAGGAGGGCTGCTTTTATATAAATCCAAAAGCACTGCGCGCCTAAAAGACAAAAAGTTTGAAAATTGTAATGATTTAAAGATAACATACAAGCGCTTCCCCCCTTATATTCGCTTTCCTATTTCGCTATTCATTGACTCTCATGGTGTTGGATTGTGGGATCGGTATTCCGCAATAAGATAATACGCATAAATTTGAAACAAATCTCTTCTTAAAGAGCACCAGTTTTCAGGATTTCTCAATACAATGAAAGCATCCTAAAAAAAAAAGATCAATAATTTGTCCCATGTTCTCTTTCGTCTCGGAATTATCTCATGCGCCCCAAGCTGCTGCCATGATCACCTTTGAAAAACTTTTTTTTTTCTTTACCTTCGAAGCTCTCCATTTGCTTGCCAAATCTGGTACATTGAACCTATCAAGTTTTCCAAATTTTGTCGATTTATATACTTAGGTTACTGTCAAACAGTCCATGAATATCGAGGGCAATTACCATGAGTTTTAGACGATGGCTAATATATCAATCAAGGCCTGGGGTTCGCAAATACACTAATATTCATTTCTGGTATTGTCCAATTGTCATTATTGGTTTTGTCCTTAGGTCAATGTCAGGAAAGTAACTGATATACACCAGTGTAAGTCAATTACAGATCCACAGTATTCTCCATTGCATCCTCGCGGTGAGGCACCGTAAGTAATAAGACGTAGGGGACTGTATTTTATGTAAAACCAACAGCAATGGCTAAGCAAACACTGACCTTCTAGAGACTAAAAATTATACCGATTTAGTAAGTAAAAAACAAAACAAAATAGTCTAGTCCTCTCTTTCGCAAGTTTGGCCTACTTAAATTGGAGGAATTTAATATATTTAGTCAGTGCCCCATTTATGTATGATTACTATTCAAATAGACTCCCAAGTACTTTCAATAATTTTTTTTAAAGCATTAACAAAGTACATCAATATGCAACCAGATTGGCCTCTAAGAAGTCTTTCTATTTACCGAAAGCTATATAGGACCAACTATGGTAAATTTAATATCCGTTTCAGGAGGGCTAAACTCTGGAATTCTATTCAAGAAGATCTAAAATAAGGGAATCGTTTCCGCTTTAAAAAGCTTTTAAAAGAATCTGCCTTCTGCAAATATTGATTAGTTCCTTGGTGTGCTTTATATGCAGGTAATTGCATGGTCAGCCGTTGTCGCTTGCTTCTTTGTTTATTCGTTTGTGTATTTGTTTTTTGTTTTTTTTATCACAGTTTAAATACTTTTCTTTGTGTGTTTATGTGTGCATTTGTTTATTTATTACAACTTAAATAAATAATCTAGTTACTTTTAAATGTTTTTTTTTTTTTTTGCATGGCCCAGCCGCTCAGTGCGATTACTTAGTATATTATAATTCAAATTATTCTCAGTGTAAGCAGTTGTGTCTTGTTTCTTTTTTTTTTTGTTTTTGTATTTTTTTTTTGTTTTTTTTATCACTTTTTAATTTTTTTTTTTTTTTTTTTTTTTTTTTTTTTTTTTTTTTTTTTTCAATTTAAATAAATATTTTAGTTTTTTTTAAATTTTTTTTTTTTTTTTTGCATGGCCCAGCCGCTCAGTGCGATTAGCTTTTGCTGTTTCTGAGTGGCTTTCGCAATTATTTCTTTTAAATTTCCTAATTACTCCTATTAGATCAACGACTACGATTATTTTGAGATCTCCTCGTGCTTCTGTCATTAAAAGCGGGTGGTACCTTACTGCTAGCATACTTTCACATATTTTCGCGAATTTGAATGTCAAAACAATTAAACTGTCGCTCGGCCGCCAACCAATTCTGCAAGGTAATATCGTCGCAAAAATTATGAAAGGAAAAAAACAAACAAACAATAGAGGAGTTCACGCTCGTAGTTGCATCACGGGTAATCAGGGCAAGATGGCGGGGAATTCAAAGATTTGTATTGAAATTCGAAGCCAGCTTATTCTTCCTAAATTCATATATTTAATGCTTCCTCTTTGAAAAGAGTAACTAACGAGTTCAAAGAAACTATACCTTAAATCTAGACTGAAAAGAAGTAGGTGATCAATTTTTAGAAAACCTCAATTTTTTCAAACATTTCTGTAATTTTGATATTGTAGAATTACAGAAAATGTATGGGAATATCTATGTTTTCTAAAATCTGATCACGGATTTCTTTGCACTCCAGATTTAGTGTATTGTTTCTTTGAACTCTTAAGTTACTCTTTTGCAAATCAATGCAAATCTTTAAATTTCCCTCCATCTTGCCCTGATTACCCATGACGCAACTATGAGCGTGAACTCCTCTATATTCCTGCAAAGTCCTTTTAATCCAAAATGCCATGGATATACCCGTCACTAATATACATCCTTCGTTCCCATGTGTAGTTTTTACGGGTATCAGGGGCGTGGAGACTTTATCCTTTACAAGAATACAGAGAGACAATTTGAGGTAGAAAATATCGTTTCTAAGGTTATCTTAATTTCTGTGGCGTAACAGTCACAGTATAAAGCTTTTAAAAAAACATAAGCGAGCCTCAAGGGATTTCGGATTTTTTAAGTTGTGTAATTATAAATCAGTGTTATCATCATCATCCTCACTCTCATAATTACATCATGATGATGATCATCATCATCATCATTTTAGAACACTTAAATTGATATCTCATATCCTATAGAGCACTTATATATTCCTGGATATTTGAAAACCGGGTTAGCAAGTCATTCCACTACTTGGCAATTTAAAACAATAAAAAATCATTCAAAGGCCGATTAAAAGACTCTATCTGACGCCAGGCAGTAAGTTAGTGGTCCCAACTCATTTCAACTTGTCCAAATTCAAAATGATGCAAATTTTAGAACATTTATTCGGTAATCAGACTCCGTGAAGTTTCAAACCGGTGTCATTACAGTCCTTATTAAGGCTTACATAATATATAGATTTAGCCAGGGCTAAAAGTGTAGCTCTAGTAATTAATTTATAATTTAAATCAAACAATAAACCTGTAATCCACAAATCGGTGAACTGGTGAGATCCATATGACGTTTAAGGGTGGGGCTGGGTGACTTAAGAGAAAAAAAAATTTGCAAACAGTGCAAAATAAAGCAACATCTAAAGTCTTACACCGGGTTAATAGTTTCATTTATACACCTAATAAATAGAAATCGCCTTTCACCACAGTAGATTAGGCGTGGAAAACAAATTCTTCCCAAGCAAATTCACCTTTGTGCCAACCTTTAGTTTTATGCTATAAAGGCCGTAAGGACACGATAGTCCCCCGTGAAAGCCAATTTACTCGTTACAACTTATCGGTGTCTCTCTGTCTACAGGAAAGGCCAAAATGAAAAATCAGGTAGGAATTTTTTTGTGTGTCTCGACAGTTCTAGCTGGTAGCGCGTAAACCAGCCTTTTTACATTACACCATCTCTGATGTAAACGGAACTATCATGCGTTGCTTGTTTTTAGACCTCGGACAGAATTTATGTCATTTTTTGCCTAGTTTTAATTATAATTCTGCAGTTTTTTACGGAATAATCTTACAAGACAAATTGCACTCATTCAGTATTCAGGATGATCGAAACACACGCTTCCCTTCCACAACAAATTATAATAATAACAGCATGATAAAACGCTTTTATATAGAGAATTCACCATCATTCAGTCAGGCGAATCTGCCATTATGTAGTATGCGGGGTAATTACGGGCTTTGAGCAAAAACTTTCGAAAAAAAATGTATTTTAATTCAGCTTACAAGATCACCCGTCCGACCAGCCAATTCTGAATTTTGCCAAGCGCCAAACTTATAGTGAGAGCTGCCGTGTATTTGAATGAACGCTAGTAATGAAGAAGAGGTCTCAGAATCATTTTCGTTTGCATTTTCCTTACTAAATGCCATATTTGATAAACGCGGCATTTTAAGTACTCTTGCATGCGGTGTTCACGGACGACTGAAAACAACAACTGGCAAAAGCGATCATGTAAGAACGAGATTTGACAAACAATCAAGACAAGAAATATAATACAAAGAAACATTTAAAGATCAACAATTTTTATTCCCGAAGACGTGTTTTGAGAGTAAAGTGTCTCGGAAAATCCTGAGTCACGAATAAAACCTTGCAGATTTAAGACTTCAGTTTTAAGCCACCTTCGCCGTGTTTGCTATTTTGCAAGATGAACTCCACGCAAGAATATCGCTCAATAGGATAACTAAACTATTTTTCAGAACTTTTTTCTTGTAGTCGCGGTCAGAAAATGTCTAAAGACTTTTTAAGTTCTTTACTAGGTCAGATAAATCGTCTCAAATCTTACAAATGACGGCATAAACATGAAAAAAGAAAGCACATAAACTGCAATCAAATTACTTAAGCTTACCGGTCGAGATGCAGCACGGAAACCCATCAAGTAAGGCCAGAATCGCTTAAGACTTTTCGCATAGTCCAGCGAGGCGAATTAAGTAAGCTTACTAAGAGTAGCTTATTTTTGAAAACCATGATTCCCGATTTCTTTTTGTCGTGCAGCGCATTTCTCAACCACAACCCAGTAAACAAGCCAGCCAAGAATAGCAAAAGAATATGTTGATAGCTGCTGTATTTCATTTTGTAGATCCAGTGCAAAAAGGCAGGTAAAAACAACACAAGATGACTCAAAACTCTGTCAGCCTCAGCTATCAGTGAACAAGTCGCAGATGCTGCATAAATTTCCCACTTGAATCCTCTTCGCTAGCGCGCCGTTAATTTTTACTCTATGCCTTTCTCTTCTTTCTCTTTCCCGTCGCCCTTCACTTAAAAGCAAACAGTTTGAATTCAATCCGCTATTGTTTGTTGCCATAACAATTTTTTCGACACAGTTTACTAGAAACTGAGCACTACGGTCACAAAATCCTTATGCAATGAAGTAGATAGAGTAAACATGATTTTGAACGCAACGACAGCCACGCCATTTCTTGCGCGATTTCCACCCAAGAAAAAGGAGGGTTGCACAAATGCATCGCGCGATTTATAACATACTCCTCCCCCGGACGGGCTGACACCTGATTCCCTTCCCTCCCCCGCAAAGAGTGTACGGGCGTACGCTACGTCATAACCAAATTTTCTCGGATGGATGTTTTACCAGATTTTCTTACCCATGGTGCTGCGCTGGGGCGCTTCGCGCGCCGGAGCTCGGCTAACAACTTAAATAGTTAGCAAAACAATACCTTTTTGCGGTCCGAAAAACGACAGGATATCGCTTTGAAAACGGACCTTCTTAATCTACAAAAACCGGCCATAATGGTTCAAAGCCAACAGCCAGGCCGTTGAAACTAGACTTAGATCCAATTCTCCTGCATGAGTCGATAATTGGTTTTCCAAGGAACAATCAGCTACCGCTAAACACCGACGAAACGTTTTTATTGCTGGCACAGAAACTGTATTTTGGTACAACAGCTCAACCACGCGACCACATACCTGAGTTCTGCCTGTCAACACCGTTTGGAGATCACACAATCACACACTTTCGCGGCACTGATAAAACTATCCACAAACACGTATAATCTTCTCACGTTTAACACAAGCGAAATATCATCAAATGACTCGGAAAAACTCAGCCTATTGGCTGGACTTTTCTCTTACACCCGTCTTGGGGTGCGTTCCTTTGGGATGATGCGGATCAGGATCAGTGATCCCAGATCACTCGGATCATGGTAGATCAAATGAACCGAAGAATACTTGTCCAGAGTGGATTCATTGGTTCATTTGGTCTACCATGATCCGAGTGATTTCGGATCACTGATCCTGACCATCTCAAAGGAACGCACCCTTATTCAAGTTCCCGTACAATCACACGGTCGGTCAGACCAGGATAGACCCCATTTTCAGACCAGAAAAAGTCTTGGCCCGGGTCAAAGTTCACCTGAAATTTTGCTCTCGCCTAATAAATTTAACTCCTTAAAGCCTGTTCCCAAAAACTTGAATTTAGTGGTTTCCTTAGAAAAGCGAACAATATCGTACCTTTCTGTCTCAGCTCGGATCAGGGTGATTGATCCCTTAGCTAAATGCATGAAACAAGAATACTTATATCTTATTGGACAGTTTAGTGTGTAGTATTGTGGGATATTTTTACGAGTCACGCTGTATTTTGGCGAGCACGTAGGGCAAGTCAAAATACAAGAGACAAGTAAAAATATCCCACGATACTACACACTAAACCGTCCAAATAGGAGATTATTCAACTCGAAGACTGTAAAATAGAACTCAGTATAAATGTGCACAGCTGCCTACTTATGACAAGAATGCGTGACAGACTAACGTGAGTCCAGTTTTCGGGCGCTTTCAGGAACGTAAAACGCTGCTGCTGATTGGTCAGAAATAAAAACTTGTCAAACTGGTTTACTCAGTAAACGAACTCTTTTCGAAGTTTTCGTCGGCGCTTCGAGTTTTATCTTTCAAACATTTGCTAAGAAAACAGAGATGGAAGATCAGGCTCTATTTTCGTTTTGCATTGTAAATAACATTCCGGCGGGCAAGGCGAAACGAAAAGAGAGCCTGACACAAACCTTCTACGAAACGTCTGCCGCCCACTTTTTTGATTGATTGACATTTGCCGAATCAGCCAACCAGAATTACTCCCGTTGCATGCTTCTTTTTTTAGACGTCAGAAAAACGCAGATTCGCCGACTTAAAAAATGGCTTTTATCTTTTTTTTCAAACTAAAAATAAAACAGTCAGCACAGTCACATTTAACTTCTTGCGAGATTGAAAGAGATCTTGCAGACTTTTTTCTGTTGCGTAGGGGGTAAAAAGTTTTCGTAAAGACGGCGACAGAAGTTCTCATTCTAATATTTTGGCTAGGCGCGTTCGATTCTTAAAATACTGAAATTTCTATTTTTCTGTTGCCTTATATTTTCCTCGGCAATTTTCCCCGATTTTCAGTACACAAATCTTTAAAAATCTTGGAGAAATACAACATGGTGAACTCTTTCAAAGGATATAAAATTATCCCAGAACAAACCAAACGAGTTCTCAAGTGCATTTGATTTCAGTCCTGTAAGTACACTGCAATTTGGGAATTTACTAAAAACAGCCGTCTAAGAAAATATACTTTTTATACATGAAGGTAGATATTATCTGCCTCTTTGGAAAGACGAAACGAAATTTGCTTAAACTAGTTCTAACTGCATGCTCAACTAACCTAAAAACAAAACGAAAAAAAAAAACATTACAAACACACTTTGTAGTTCTCAATTTATTAAATAATCGAAATTAACAGACAGCAAACAGCCAACGAGCGAGGACAACAGTTTTTCTGGTTTATTATTCACAAAAATCAAAGGCAAGCAACAAATCTGTTACCTAAAGACTAGCAACACTAGCTTTTATAATAATGCCTACAAAAATTCTTTGAACAGCGATGTCATATATAATGTCTAATACTTTAAAGCTGGCGACTGAGGTTTCTTTCGCAGTGAGCTTCAACTTGCGTACCCCGTTCAGAGAAGTCATTCCAGGCTAAACGTTCAAGTGAAACCAGTTTTAACAAGAACAGTATTCCGACGTGCACTCGTTTGCTGGTAATATAAATCAAAGGTCAGCCTGCAGAGGGATTCGACTCCGCGATACACTAGAATTAGTTCCGTAAATTAAATTAATCCTGAGAAGCTATGGACAACCATCTGAATTTTCTGAATTTCCAGCGCACATATTGAGGAATATTTTCCTACCATAAGACCGTAAAAAATCCAAAAGACAGCAAAATCCTTCTCTCCGCCGACTGTGGAACATTCGAAGATTTTTGAGTGCTACAGCCACGCAAGGAATAATTCCAATAGCCAATCAGATCCTGTGGCATTGTTCTAACAGCCAATCAGCGTTGAGGACAAAATCTGGCCGCAGTGAGCAAAAGCTTGTGAGACTTTGTATCAGGCCCAATTTTAGCTTGATGACGTAAGAGAGATTGTATGAGAACTGCTAAAATTGGGCCTGATCTCAGGTTAGAGATGGAATGACAAATAAATGTGAGGCTTATGATGGTCTTTCGGTCTCGTAAAACGGACTGCAAGTAGATAAACTGAGCAGAGCAAATTGCGAAGGAAAGACGAAAACTCTTCCACAAATTCATGGAGTTACAAATAGCCACTCGTAAACAAAAGTCTTGAAACCTCATCTTCGCCGAGTTATACTAAAAAAAGAGAACCTAAAAAAGAGAACGTCTTAAGTCTACCACATCGAGTTTCCTCACATTTTAAAAGAACTACCTATAGAGGTGAAGCCTGTTCAGTTTCTTGGCGGTAATATATCATTAATGGACGTTTCACGGATTGTCGCCATCAGCATCTCTATCACACAACAAGGTCTGTTTTCATCCTCTCCGTAGTAGTATCTTGACCTTATAGAGTTTGTATGTTGCGTTTCTTTTTAAGTAAATCTCGACATTTCATTGTTGTTCAGGCGAATGTATTCTAGAAGCCCGGCTTTACTTAAGTGTCATTGTCTGAGAAAGTGTTCCAGAGGTCAAAAGTTGTGGTCAACCGATTTGGCTGAAACTTGGCACAGAAGTTGGGTGTGATGAGATATTTCAAAAGCCACTTTGGCTCACTTCTCTGACTTTTAGTTTTGGAGTTACGGGGGGGAGGGGGGGTCTCATTTTTGGCCTTTTGAGCACTAAAAATCCAGCCTTCCTGGGGGAATTTTGAAAGTGCCGTGAGACCCCACTGGTAAATTGTGCTACCAAATAAATTTGACCATGAACTCTACTATAATAGAGCTTTCAGTTCACGCATGTAACTTTGTCTTCAAGGTATTGCACAGAGAGGAGCCTGGCGCTAGAGTTTGGCCAAAATTGATGATGTTACGATTACAAGTCAAAATAGCCATTTTTCAAAATTTCAGTATATTGACCTGCCTTCTTGCATAACTTCCATACCTATACCACTGTTTACTTTAGTCACCCAATTATCAAAATCAGTTGAGAAAAATTTGACTTATTATGGTTTATAGAATTTTTGGAACAAACACTTCATGCCCCTCTAAGGCGATGCAAAATGGAATTTTGAGCATGATTCAGGCCATAAACAAACCAAATTGTTGACGAGAAGCCCTTATTCTGTATTTGGTAAGTGAAAATTAATTGTCAAAGCCAAATCAGTTTCGTTGTCTAGAAATACACCGACTCTTACCTTAAAATTGATTTGAAACTGGCCTCTACTTAGCCCACAAACACGTGATTTAGCAAAAGAAGGGTGATTTTTTTTCTTTGAAAACCTACTAACCATCATAGAACACAAATGATAATGGTCTGACCTAGATATAACGATCTTTTTACAAGATGCCTAAATTTTTCTTTGATTTATATTCGGTTTCATGTCATATTTCTAAGCATTACTCCAAACATGGAAAGTCTCCATATTTTGTCAGGCCCATTTTTTATACTTTTACCGGATAAAGTTAGCTTAACAAAACGTTCGTTAACATATAATCTTCGTCTTGTGGTCTTGTTAATGGCCTGAATAGTTGTTGTAAATACCCGTCAGCAAAGGAGCATGACCATACATACATAGATTATACAAACAAATAGGACCTTCAGTGAGCAGGATCGAGGTTACCTCTGATTTTCCGGGCCCTTTAGAGCTGAGAAAATGAAATCATCCATCCACAGTTAGGAGAGGTGGATAACAAAAAGCTTATGTCGCTTTATTAAAGAAAATAAGCCAAAAAAAAGGCCTTGCATTGAGATGATACAATTGTTATTATATCAAATTAACTGGCCCGCCATTTTGGACTTGGCGAGTGTGGGGACTGGACCGAGTTCCCATTCAATCCTTCTCCCCTTTCGCGGGCATTTTTTGTGTTTTTCATCAGGTGTGTTCGAAATTCTAGAGAGATAATTTTACGATGGCACTTTATTCCTTTGAAGGGGTAAATGACCAGTGCCGTGCCACGTCATGGGCTGTGCAACAAACAGGAATGCTTCCTTTTTTCTTGTCTTGCCATAGTGACATGACTGCATGGTTTAAGGGCAAGTAGAAGGGTTCGGGTGTGTCCGGGGAAGAAGAGGAAGGCCTTGTGATACCAAAGCTACAGATGATTCAAAAGATCAGTTATAGATCATACACGTGCACAAATGGCTTTTATCACGATCTAGGGGACTCTTCTGATTGAAGATAGATGACGATATATAATTTACGATATTGTCGTCTCAAATTGTTTGTTTATGGTATCATCTCAATGAAAGGCTTTGTTTGGGTTATTTCCTTTAAAAAAGCAACAAAAGCTTTTTGTTATCCAGCTCTCCTAACTGTGGATGGATGATTTCATTTTCTCAGCTCTAAAAGACTCAGAAAATCAGAGGTGCCAATCAGAGGCCCATTTCAGATCAATTTTAAGGTAAGATTCGGTGTATTTCTAAACAACGAAACTGATTTTGCTTTGACAATTCATTTTCACTTACCGACTACAGAATAAAAGCTTCTCGTCAACAATTTGGTTTGTTTATTGCCCGAATTATGCTCAAAATTCTATTTTGCATCGCCTTAGAGGGGCATGAAGTGTTTGTTCCAAAAATTCAAAAAACCATAATAGGCCAAATTTTTCTCAACTGATTTTGATAATTAGGTGACTAAAGTAAACAGTGGTATAGGTGTGGAAGTTATGCAAGAAGGCAGGTCAATATACTGAAATTTTGAAAAATGGCCATTTTGAGTTGTAATTGTAACATCAATTTCGGCCAAACTCTAGCGCCAGGCTCCTCTCTAGGCAATGCCTTGAGGACAAAGTTTCATGCATAAACTGAAAGCTCTATTATAGTAGAGTTCATAGTCAAATTCATTTGGTAGCACAATTTACCAGTGGGGTCTTATGGCACTTTCAAAATTCCCCCTGGAAGGCTGGATTTTTGGCTCTCAAAAGGCCAAAAATGAGAACCCCCCCTCCCCCCCTGTAACTCCAGAACTAAATGTCAGAGAAGCGAGCCAAAGTGGCTTTTGAAATATCTCATCACACCCAACTTCTGTGCCAAGTTTCAGCCAAATCGGTTGACCACAACTTTTGTCCCCTGGAACACTTTCTCAGGCAATGATACTTAAACTTACAATTTGGCTCCTATTCCGTTATTTTCTTAGCAAAACGATGTATTTTCCGTCATGTGGGACCGTTGTAGATTAAAAGTGGTTGTCAGAGAAAACCGGGCAAAATGTTAAAAATGTCAACGGAAGAGGGTCAACAGAATAAGCTCATACTAACACCATAGATAGGTTAGGTGGAGTAATGGACAAATATAATAAACATAGGTTCTTCACTGCTCTTGTATTAGAGATACGAGCATCACTTTATTTGACCCCCTCGGACGCCATTTTTGTAAGCAAATGTTGACCATTTTCTGAAGCTCACAAACTCCTCAAAATTAAACTAGCGAAGTTCATTTTCTGTATGCCATACAACACAACACAGGACTATCTTCGAAAACCATAAACATTGTTAAGTAGCTACGGGCAAGACTAAAACTTTCTTATTTAACTCAGTGTCTGCAAGCGAATCAAAAATCGGTCGTTTTTGAATTGATCTGTAGCGCACAACTAAAAGGATAATAAAACTCTGGCAGCCAAATTGCAGCCTACAATCATCCATGTTACCAAAACACTAATAATCATTTTGGCTCGTGGGAAAAGGGAGAAATTAGAAAACTCACATTTGTCATAGGTGCCAACCTTTTTCTTGAAAATAGGCCGATCCCTTCTTGTTTGTTTTAAGTCCTCTTCATGATTTTTGTTCCCTATTTCGCTGTCAGCTATGGTCAGCAGGTAGAGGAAATATCAAAAAGTTCGAAATACTGTCACTGTAACATCTTGGAACGGCAAAAAGTGCTAAGCCATGGGATAAAACTAGAAAACAACAACGCGACGCCATCTTGAAAGTTTATTACTCGGGAGGGACTGGCACCAGTAGTTGACAAGACTACTAATAACAAGGTAAAAGACAGAAACAAACGACTCAGTAAATAAATGCACACTTCTTATACAAATCACGAACAAACCCTTACCAGCTACTTGCTCCAATATTACTTCTCTGTTTACTACATTTGGTTCGTTCACTTCTGGGTTATCATTTTTTTTCCGGAGTGAATGGAGTGGAGAATATAATGGGCTATTAACCTGGGACTTCTCTTTCCGTTTGGGAGGCGAAAAAGAAAAATAAGAACTCCTGATCGCAGGTTAATGGGTGATTAACTCGACGTACCACATCCGTTCTTCATTTTGAGTTATCCCGTGAATGTGGATAACATTTACCTTATGGCTTACTAGGAATCAATTCACCTCGTTTTATAGCTTGCGCAGAAGCTCTTTTTCAAGTCTGTAGGTTTTGCGGTCTGGTTTGTGGGATTTATAAGGTATTCAAAATTCGTGCAAAAATTGTTCTAAAATAGACTGGTTATTAAAAACGCCGTGACACGACTACATAGAAGCGGCTCGCTCCGGGTTATGTAACTCGAATTACTTCATGCGCTCTCCATTTTGAGTTATCCCGCGGTTGTGGATAACATTCACCCTAAGGTTTACTGGGAGTCAATTCACCTCCTGATGATTTTTCTTCCCTATTTCGCCATGGTCAGCAAGTTAATTCCACAAAACTCGAAATACCGCCATTGTTACTTTAAAACGGTGAAAAGTGCTGAACAATTGGATACAATTAGAATATAATAAAGGGACGCCATGTTAGAAATCCAGTACTCGGAAGGGACAGGTACTAGTACTTGCCTTGTCTCCAAACGGAAACTAGATGGTCTCATTTGGAGGAGAGACAAACTATGCAAATACAGATCATGAGGTACATGCAAACAAAGCAACAAACAGTTGTTATCTACGTGCTCGACTCTTTGATTTCTGTTAATTACTCTTGGTAGTTAAAGTTAAGAGGGATGGTGACGGGTGATTAACTGGCTGATTAACTCATTCGCCCTTTCACTTCATTTTGAGTTACCCCGTAAAAGTCATAACATTTCTTTCTTTCAACTTTTTGGTCTTTAATTTACTTTTGGGATTAGAGGTATTGACGTTTTTATTATATCCGTCTATTGTTGCGTCATTCTCCGATCACCGTCCACGTCTGAACATCCACTCGTCTCCCGTTCCTTTCAAGAACAGGCTCAGTAATAAATGATGTTGCTGGTGACCCTTTTTCTTCTACCTTAGCGCCTGTTTACATGGAGGTGGGGGACCCCAGGTAGGTGAGGTGACCCGCCGCATGTTACCTCACCTATCTAGGGTCCCCCACCTCCATGTAAACAGGCCCTTAGATGAAACGGCGGGGGCATTCCTTATGATAGCCTATAGTATGCAGGCAGGCTCCGCCCGAAAGACTACGTCTTTCAGGCATCAGGAATAATATGGGGTGCTTTCCATTATAACAAAATTTTCGGAAATTTCGGTCGAGAAATAAATGGGACGCTTTGGTCTGCCTAGAAGTTTTCCGTTCAAAATGGTCCACCTCCAGAGGTGGTCCTCTTGGACGGTTGGTCCGGTCCGACCGAAACTTCCCGTTCCATTTCCAAAAATTTTCGTTTTCAGTCCTACCTTGCTAAGCAGCAATCAAAATTTCGGTCGAAACGCAAATGGATCGTTTCGATGCGATTGAAAACGTTATTTCAATAGAACAATGTCTCTCCATTTTGTCTTGATCATTCTACTTATCATGAGGGTTTAGTTTGGCAAATGGAAAGCGCTCATAGCCTGCGATGCAGGCGGCCCACGCACGCATAGCCTGGACCATTGGTATAGTCCGTCTAGCCTGNGATTAACTCATTCGCCCTTTCACTTCATTTTGAGTTACCCCGTAAAAGTCATAACATTTCTTTCTTTCAACTTTTTGGTCTTTAATTTACTTTTGGGATTAGAGGTATTGACGTTTTTATTATATCCGTCTATTGTTGCGTCATTCTCCGATCACCGTCCACGTCTGAACATCCACTCGTCTCCCGTTCCTTTCAAGAACAGGCTCAGTAATAAATGATGTTGCTGGTGACCCTTTTTCTTCTACCTTAGCGCCTGTTTACATGGAGGTGGGGGACCCCAGGTAGGTGAGGTGACCCGCCGCATGTTACCTCACCTATCTAGGGTCCCCCACCTCCATGTAAACAGGCCCTTAGATGAAACGGCGGGGGCATTCCTTATGATAGCCTATAGTATGCAGGCAGGCTCCGCCCGAAAGACTACGTCTTTCAGGCATCAGGAATAATATGGGGTGCTTTCCATTATAACAAAATTTTCGGAAATTTCGGTCGAGAAATAAATGGGACGCTTTGGTCTGCCTAGAAGTTTTCCGTTCAAAATGGTCCACCTCCAGAGGTGGTCCTCTTGGACGGTTGGTCCGGTCCGACCGAAACTTCCCGTTCCATTTCCAAAAATTTTCGTTTTCAGTCCTACCTTGCTAAGCAGCAATCAAAATTTCGGTCGAAACGCAAATGGATCGTTTCGATGCGATTGAAAACGTTATTTCAATAGAACAATGTCTCTCCATTTTGTCTTGATCATTCTACTTATCATGAGGGTTTAGTTTGGCAAATGGAAAGCGCTCATAGCCTGCGATGCAGGCGGCCCACGCACGCATAGCCTGGACCATTGGTATAGTCCGTCTAGCCTGCGAATAGCCCACGTTCGATATATTAAAATTCTAACATGACTCCGAGGCTTTCTAGTCATTTTTCTATATTTGGTAAGGTTTGGTTTTCTTTGTGCTCGAGTCTCTTCTGGGAATTGCGAGACAATGGAGTCGTGAAAATTTGAAACTTTGAACCTAAAGCCTCGGAGTCATGTTAGAATTTTAAAACATCGAAAGTGGGCTATTAGTGCGCAAAAGCTATTGTCCACCAATTCGAAGACCCTGTATTCAGCGGTTTCTTATTTTCTAATCAACCAATCGAAATTATAGACCTTAAAGTTAATAAAAAAATGTAAAACCGGTTAAACCGACTAAAAATAACACACGACCTTATCTTAATGAGATTCCTGCGCATTTTATTCATGAGATAAAGATTAAAGGTTATCACGCCATTGGCGTCAATGTATTCCCCCACAAGTTAATGAGATTCCCCCGCAAAAAAAGGAGTAACCAGTCCCTACTATACTACTGAGCTCCAGTTTCCAGATTAGTAGTTCCGGGCTTAAATCGGTCCGAAGGAGTACTTTAACGCAGTATAAACGTTTTGAGAAAAATGAAAACCGGTTATAAGGGCCTCATATGAAGAAACATTATGACTTCTGTGTGTAAGACCAACAGGCCCTTCGATAACAGCGATAACTACCCGAAACGCATGCATAGCCGATCAAGATCTTAAACTTTCCTCTTAATTTTTTTCCTTGCTTTTTAAGACTACAAATAATGTCGTGGTCATCATAACAGATAGGGTAATGCAAATTTACTTGAATAGTATACTGAAACTGGCAAATTAAACTTCCTTTTTTTCCAATAGTCCTCTTGTGACGTTGTGTTGCACCGAGTTATGAAAGACAACTCCTTATTTATTTTGCTGTTGTCATCCACTATCCCTGAGTGTTCGCTCTTTCGTTTTCTACTTTAAATGGGTTTCTGTGTTTCCCTGCAATTAGAACACGCTTACTAATTTAAAAAAAAAAAGAGTTTTATCATAAAACGAAATGAGATAAGACTGAACTGTAAAATTACCTATACCACGTTGCTTTCAGTGAATCTCTTTTCACAGAGCGTTGTCACAAGAAAAGATTAGATTATGTAAGGGACAGGAGGGGCTAGGGTAATAACATGTAACCTCACCTGCCAACAAAGGAAAGCTAGCTCTTACCCAATTACCCCTCCTAGTCACTTAAAAAAATATGACCAGCACTCACTCTCCACTGACATTTACATGAATCCACCCCCATTATACAGTAAATTTTTAAGACGGCTGTGCAAGGAACAGTACCTTAAAACTACGTTCGACATTAGCCGTCCATTTCAGAATAGGCCGAATGCGCGTAGTCTTCTGAATCGTCTTGTGAATATCTGGATTGCAGCTCCCAATTATTTGCGTCACGCAGGAGCCCATAACCTACAGCGAGCAGCTTTTATGTAGTCGTGTCACGGCGTTTTAACTAACAAGTTTATTTTTAGAACAACTTTGGCGCGAATTTTGAATACCTTATAAGTCCCACAAACTAGACCACAAGACCTACAGATCTGGAAAAAGGGCTCCTGCGCAAGCTATGAAACGAGGTGAAGTGATTTCCAGTAAGCCATAAGGTGAATGTTATCAACATCCACGGGATTTCTCAAAATGAAGAACGGATGAAGTACGTCGAGTTAATCACCCATTAACCTGCGATCAGGAGTTCTTACTTTTCTTTTTCGCCTCCCAAACGGAAAGAGAAGTCCCAGGTTAATAGCCCATTATATTCTCCACTCCATTCACTCCGGAAAAAATGATAACCCAGAAGTGAACGAACCAAATGTAGTAAATAGAGAAAAAATATTGGAGCAAGTAGCTGGTAAGGGTTTGTTCGTGATTTTTATAAGAAGTGTGCATTTATTTACTGAGTCGTTTGTTTCTGTCTTTTACCTTGTTATTAGTCGTCTTGTCAACTACTGGTGCCAGTCCCTCCCGAGTAATAAACTTTCAAGATGGCGTCGCGTTGTTGTTTTCTAGTTTTATCCCATGGCTTAGCACTTTTTGCCGTTCCAAGATGTTACAGTGACAGTATTTTGAACTTTTTGATATTTCCTCTACCTGCTGACCATAGCTGACAGCAAAATAGGGAACAAAAATCATGAAGAGGACTTAAAACAAACAAGAAGGGATCGGCCTATTTTCAAGAAAAAGGTTGGCACCTATGACAAATGTGAGTTTTCTAATTTCTTCCTTTTCCCACGAGCCAAAATGATTATTAGTGTTTTGGTAACATGGATGATTGTAGACTGCAATTTGGCTGTCAGAGTTTTATTATCCTTCTAGTTGTGCGCTACAGATCAATTCAAAAACGACCGATTTTTGATTCGCTTGCAGACACTGAGTTTAGGTCAGGTAAAATAAGAAAGTTTTAGTCTTGCCCGTAGCTACTTAACAATGTTTATGGTTTTCGAAGATAGTCCTGTGTTGTGTTGTATGGCATGCAGAAAATGAACTTCGCTAGTTTAATTTTGAGGAGTTTGTGCGCTTCAGAAAATGGTCAAAATTTGCTTACAAAAATGGTGTCCGAGGGGGTCAAATAAAGTGATGCTCGTATCTCTAATAAAAAGAGCAGTGAAGAACCTATGTTTATTATATTTGGCCATTACTCCACCTAACCTATCTATGATGTTAGTATGAGCTTATTCTGTTGACCCGCTTCCGTTGACATTTTTAAGGTTTTGCCCGGTTTTCTCTGACAACCACTCTTAAAACCGGTCAAACCGGTGTCCTGGAGTACAAATACCGTGAGATATTTGTACTCGTTTTAAGCGTTATTTGTACTCTACCAAGTGAAGTTGAATAGTAGTAGTAGTAAACCTTTAATTAACTAGGGTAATCCCTTCAGAATACTTAAAAGTATATCTGTTATCAATAGGAGCCCTAAATTAAGACTAATAAAAAAGTTCAAAAAAAATAAGAAGAAACTAAGTAACTATTTGTTAATAATAGTACAGTATAACAATTAAAACTAATTCTTATTTACTAATAATAAAATATGATATCGGACGATCCAGACTCTGCGAATCGTATCCCATCTCAGAGGCTTTACATGATGCTCTCCGGGAAACGTTTCTCAAGGTGGCCAATAACGAAATGTAAACTGCTAAACGGCACCGAAACCAGCTTTAGGCGCGCCCTGGCTTTAAGTAACTGTCGCTCGTGTTAAAGAGAGAATTGTGAGAGGAGCGGGTAAAAAACCAAAGAGAAAGGGAGGGAGGGGAGGGGGGGCGGGTTAGATAGAAATTCGCTAAATTCTGTCTACAGCCACTTCTACACAAATCCCTAACCACAAAACACCCAAAAAAAGACAAATGCAAACAACGTAGAAAACAATCTAAGACAGGGGAAGTTGAGAAATTACAAAATGTTTGCTAACCCGGTTTTCATGAATCCAGGTAGATATAAAGTATGGTATTGATGTAAACAAATTTTGATGAATATCAACTACTTCAATAACACAGCAACCCGAAAGAGCTCTCGGTATTTATATATAGGATAATTCCCTCGCTCCGAGCACGCTGCGGTCATTATTTTTAAGAAGGCCGAGGCAGACATGTTGCTTTTGATCCAATTCCAAGAAATACTTAAAAACCTCAGTTTTAAAACTGGAGATTGAACCAAGTTCTCTTTACTCTTTCGGGAGATCATTCCTGTCCTTGACAGCGGCAAATTTAAACCAGTGCTTGTCCCATCGCTGAGGACATAGTATCTCCTCAAATCTAACAGAGTGGCATACCTAAAAGATCCATTATGTAATTGTGATCTCTTGACTACCGTCGAACCTGTATTAAGCAGCACCGTATTAAGCGATCACCCTGTATTAAGCGTTCAGGTTTCAAAGTCCCGAAAATTTACTTCCCCTGACTGTAATTTCGACCTCTATTAAGCGGTCGCGGTTACCATTTGCGAAGTCCCAACGGGACTTTTTCTATTGTCTTGACCTGTATTAAACGGTCACACGGCGTCAATTGTTCATACAGTTTCAAATAATGTAACACGTGGGGTACAACAATTGATTTCCTTGTTATTTTCGCAAATCATTAAAACGCCGGAAATAAATGTTTCTATTTGAGGTCAAACGTCTGATCTGATCAGCACTGGAGATCGAATTCTTTATGACGTACATTTGCGAACAAAAATAATTGAAAATAAAAGACAATTTGAAGTTCTAAAATTAGACTACCCATGTCGAAATCTCGTCATATGAATTTAAAATCGCAATGAACGCAGTCGAAATAGCATCATTCGAACTTGAAGTTACTTTGAACAAGTTGAAACTATAAAGGGAAAACTCGACATCGCGGTTGTTGAAGTTCAAATCACCATTCCAACTAAAATGCAAATTACATGATTTGAACTTCAATTCACCTTTAGTCCACTCTAATAAGCCACTTAATCGTCAACAATGCAACCATAATCTTCCACAAAATTCCAAATGAAACCTTTAATTTGAACTTAAAGTCACGTCACATATTCGAATTCGAAAAACCAAAATTTCAATTCGAAAGGAAGGGGAAGTAAAAATACACAGGAACCGGAAATGAAAAGAGTTTCGCTACACTGCTGCTTAACCAATGGTTAAAGCTAACCATGGTTTGAGCAACTCAGCCCAGGTCAATATGGCGGACAATGTGAATGGTTAGGGTGACTCTAGGACAATCCAACAGATTGTGAGGGCTGTTGTGGCAAACTTAAACTTTATAAAAGGAGAAGCGTTAAGGCTTCTGAGAACAAATTCCTCTACATTTACTTTGGAGGAAAATATGAGTAATTTCAAAACACTCCTGCAGAATAGAGATTACCCAGCTAGAATTGTAGAAAAACACCTTTTAGAGATTAAATTCTCTGATAGAGAAATTTCGCTAGCGCAGAAAAACAAAACCGCACCTAAGAAAATACTGCCCTTTGTAACACAATACCATCCGGCGTTGCCTAACCTAAAGGACACACTCATGGGGAAATGGCGCCTTATAGAAAATCAACCGCAACTGAGAGAACTCTTTAAGGAGCCCCCCATCATCTCATATCGTAAGGGAAAATCCCTAAAGGACACCCTAGTTAAAGCTAAGCTATGAAGGCTTTATTAGCATTTATTCATCCGCGAACTGCAGGAGTCGTGTAGGCTTGTCAACACAGTTAGCAGAGTTGACAAAGTTCTCTCATGAGCATCAAGTCGACGAAATAAAAATTCAGAATTATCATATGATGCTGAGTTTAGATTAGTTTCTGATACCTCTAACAGTCTAACCAGTCCAACGAAAAACTCTTCGTTGTTCGGTAGCCATCCAGCCACCATGATGATGATCACATCAGAGATGGGGAAGCTCAGGTTCCAAGCCTCCCATCTGTAGACTCGTACCTACAACGTAGTCGTTACTCGGTTCCTATGTATTTTTACTTCCCCTTTTTTCGAATTGAAATTTTGGTTTTTCGAATTCGAACATGTGACGTGACTTTAAGATCAAATTAAAGGTTTCATTTGGAATTTTGTGGAAGATTATGGTTGCATTGTTGACGATTAAGTGGCTTATTAACAACTTCAACAACCACGATGTCGAGTTTTCCCTTTATAGTTTCAACTTGTTCAAAGTAACTTCAAGTTCGAATGATATTTTCGACTGCGTTTATTGCGATTTAAAATTCATATGACGAGATTTCGATATGGATA